TGTTGTCGCCGAAAACAGAGGGGAAAAAAGGTGCAGCAGCAGGAGAGCGACACGTGGCAAAAAAGGAACCACTGGCACGACGCGGCCAAGGCCGCCGCACACGCACACACGCCGTGTGCCCACGCACCCCGCCCCCGGATTTATATTATCAAGATCCAGGATTGCTGCCGCTGGGGTTTGAACCTAGACACCTGCTGGGCAATGCGCGTGTGTAGCCACCCTCATAGCACACTTGCCACAGTGTATGCATGGGCTTGGAGTACGGCACACTCGTGTTGAACAGGTGCCGTGCTGGCTATTTACACCCCCCCCCCCTGGCTGCTGCCGCCTGTGCACGTGGCCACCTGCAGTGCCACGTGGCAGCTCGCTGTGGACTTGGAGACCCCCTGTTTCAGGGGCTGCTCTACTGTGGTGAGGGTCTGCTCACATAGCACACCCTGGATCTGCTGGTAGGGGCTGATCAAGATCTCAGCCCCCCTTCCTCCTCCAGTTGGCTGCTGCAGTGAAGGCCTAGACCCTCCTTGGTCTTGGTATACCTTGTGCCCTTGGAGACTCCAAGCGCAAGGTATCATCTCTCTCTCCCCTCTACTAACCCACCTTCCACTGCCTCTTTTCCCTCCTCTTTTTACCTTCCCCACCCCACCTTTTATCCCAGCACCCACTCTTTTACTCTCTTTTCTTCATTTATTTTCTTTCCTTTCCTCCTTTTCTCTTTGCTTCTCTATCCCTCTCCACCTTTCCCCATCCCTCTCTCTCCCATTCTCTCACCCTTCTCTCCCCCAACTACCACCACATCATCCCCCTACCTCCCACTTCCATCTTTTTCTCTCTCCCACCTATTTCTCTCTTTTCTCCTTCACTTTTCATTCCCTTTCCCCCCTACTTCGAATTTTTTTTTTCTTCTTCTTTCTATCTTTCTTTTGATTTATCTTTTCTTTTTTTTCCAAAAAAAAAATCAATTATCTTCTTCCCCACCTTCTTTTTTCATTTTCTGATTTATTTCATTTATTGTTTTACTTATTCTGAAATTCGAATTTCCTTGCGGCGTCCTTAAATCTGATTAGGAGTTCGTCATTCTTGCTTTCGGCACCCATTTTGACCCCGTGGGGGTAACGAAGTGCTGCCAAAATTTTCCCACTTTCCTCAACCTTTCTTCTTGATGGCACACTTCGATCCCATGGGGGTAACGAAATGTTGCCGAAATTTTTGAAAAATCCAACACTTGATTTTTTGTCACCCCCTCCTCTTCTTATTTCTTTATTTATTTCTTTATCTATTTCTTTATTATTTTTTTATTTATTTTCTGAAATTTTTCATTTGCGGCACTTTGAAACTTAGTTTGCTTATCTTGGTCTCTTCTTTCCCTTGGCACATTCTTGACCCCATGGGGGGTAGGGAAATGCTACCGAAAATTCTACAAAAATAAATATTATTTCTCTCTTTATATTTTATTTCCTTATTTCTTTAATTATTTTTATTATTTATTTAGTTTCTTATTTATTTTTATTTTGTCTCGAAATCTCGCTGTTTATTTATTTTTCTCCCGCCTTCCCCCCCCTATGCTTGCTATTTTATTTTCTTGGTTAGGTTACCGGTACTCTACCCTAACCACTCAAACTTCGGTTAGGGTTTTCCTAGGGTATTTCTAGGGTTTAGGGTTCTTCAAAGCCCCCCCCACTTCCCCTTCCTATTTGGGCACCCTGGACCCGAACCACCCCTTCCCCTTTGACGGTGCCCGCGCTAGCCTTGCTAACGCCGTCCGCCGCTTTCTACCGCGGACCCCCCCTTACGCCTCCGCTCACGCGGACCTCCTCTGGCCCCCTCCAGTACGGCCCGTCACCTCCCCATGACCGATGGTGTGTCACACGCCGCCGACGCGGCAAAAACCACTGCACCGGGCTCCACACCCGTGCCGGTAGACCAGGGCCATCAGCCCTAGGGGAACCTGCACGCCCTCCTCACTTCCCTCCTCGCGCCCATTTAGACACAACTCGCGATCCTCGCGCCCTTACAGGCGCAAGTGGCGACCCTTGCCGCCGGCATGCAGCAACTCTAGGACGCTGCCTGTCCTTCATCTCCTGACTCTCTCTCTTCTCCTGGGTCCCAGTCCGGGTCCCCAGTCCTCCGACAGGGTGGCCACGATGGAGCTTCCTCCTCCGCTGCCCCCGACCCGACCATCTTGGTGACCGTCCACGCCCCTAGCACGACGACCGCCACGGGTCAGGTCATCCCTCAGTCTACAGGCGCACCCACCCAGATTCCGGTCTCTATAGCCACGGGACCACAACCCGCTACCTTGGTCTCAACTTTTCTGGGTGCCCCACTTCTCCCTTCCCTTCGCACGACCGCAACGCCACCTGACTCTCCCTCCTCTAGGATGCCCCGCGCCGCTCGTGCGTCCACTTCCCCCACTCTTCCTCCTGTCACTCCTCGCTCGATCTACGTTCAACGTCTCGAGGACGAGCTTGCCCAGACCCGGGCCGACCTCGCCCTCTTACGCCTTCAGCCACCCCCACCCTCACAAGTGGTCGCGCCTTCAGGCGCATCCCCTCCTTCCTCTACTCTTCCTTCCATGCAGGCTCGCTTTCCTCGCCCTGCACCCTATCCAGCCCCATCCTACCTTCTTCATATTCCCTCGGTTGCTGCGACCTCTTTTATCGCAGCTCCCTCGCAACCTGTCGGCGTTGCCCCCACCGCTCCCACATGCGGCCCGAGCGTACAGTCAGTTGCGCCCCTTTCTCCAGGACCTGCGCCGACTTACTCAGCCGTGGCACAGGCCTCTGCTCCTTGATCCCCTCGCCGCCAAAACGGTGGCGCACCACTCGTCCGCTTGACGGACATTGCTTTGTATGACGGTACAGGCATACGCGTGTCTCGGTGGCTACAGTCTGCCACCCGCACCCTCCAGCTCATGGGCGTCCCACCCGACACGTGGGTGGGTCACCACTCCACACGCCTGCGTGGCGGTCCTTTTGACGCCTGGGAGGATTTCTACGCTAACTCCCTTCATGCGGGTCGGACTCCGACCTTCATGGATTTCCAGGCGTTCCTCGAGGATCGCTTCGGAGCCCGACATGACGTGACTGACGCCTTCGAGTGTGTCGTCACTACACTCTGGTCCGACTTTGGTGGCGTTACCAGCCTGGATCGCCACATCCAGGTCTTTCAGGATGCCCGTCTCATTTGTGATGTGGCGTTCCTTCTCGAGGCTGCCCTATCGGTCGTTTCTTGGCCAGCCTTTCCCTTGAGTACCGCTCTGAGCTATGGCGGTACGAATTCACATCGGCCCCGCAGGCTTACGAGGCCGCCAGGGACCATCAGCGGATGCGGGCCTGTCTTCACCCCGCCTCCTCCTCCCAGCCTCAACGCACTGGCTACGCCGCCGCCTCCTCTCACGGCACTTCCTAACGTCGTTCCCCTTTCCACGGTCGCCCCCGCCATTCCACGCAGCGGGGCCGCCACTTCTCGCGCCGCTTCAACACGCTCGAGTATGGTGAGAAGGACGCTGTTGCTCTGCTGTCGCCAGAGGGTGACCATAGGGACGACCTCGACCTCGGCGAGGCCGTCCACTCCCACCTGGAGGACTCTACTCTCCCTATGGCCGAGCGCCTCCAACTCATCCTCTCCGCCCTCATTCCGGGCACCCGACCGCCCCGGTCACGCTGGCGCGTCCCCCCCCGAGGTCCCTCAGCAGGACCTTCCTCAGGGCTTTGTCCCTCCTCGTGGTGTTCTTTCCGCTAAGGAGCGCGCAACCATTTTGGGCTGGCGCGGGTGTTTGCGATGCCTCCAGGACGGCCATACCTCCTCGCGGTGCCCTTACACTGCTGCCCTTGACCGCCACTACGCTGACCTTTCCCGCCAGCGTCATGCTCAGTCCCCCCCCGGCGCCTCGCATCCCCACGGGGCCTTCTAGCCACGGCGTAGTGTACACCTGCGCCCTCCTCAGTAGTCGGTTTCCCGACCTCCCCGTCGCGGTTTGCCCCTCTCGCTACTGGAGTTGAGGTCTCGCAGGATCCGACGGAGTGTACGTAACCCTCTGTCGCAGTACCGTTTGCGCCTCCGCAGACCACCGTCTCCCCTCCTACCCCTCCGCGACTACCGACGCGTTCAGCCATTCGCTCAGCCCGTTGCAGCGAGCAGCTTGCGACTCGCGAGGACGTTGTGTCCTCTCTTCTGGACTTGAGCATGCTCCAGGCTCGTCAGGAGCGACTCACCCTCCATGTCGCTGCACTGCGTCGCCTTCTCACCATCCTCTCTGACCTTGATCACACCCTCCCGATCATTCCAGTACGACTGGGGACCTCCACGAGGGTGTACTCAGCGCTGTGGGATCCCGGTTCTCAGGGCGACTTCATTCACCCACGTATGGTGAAAGAAGCCCGCTTACCCACGATAGGGTCGCCAACTCCCATCTCTGTCACCCTTGGGGATGACAAGACCCAGCGCTTCTTCGATCAGACGGTCACCGACCTCCCTTTCTTCCTCACTCTCGAGCCAACTGATCGTCCCCCGGCGTCTCGTCGCCACCGCTCCTCCGCACATTTCGATGTGATGGAGACGAGGTACGACTTCATTCTCGGTATTCCGTGGTCTCGTCGGTTCCGCAACATCGAGGCCGATTGGGCGACCAACACTCTCGTTCTCAAAACGAAGTGTGGACAGACGTATCGTGTACCTTTCATAGGTACCACTGCGACACCACGCCCCGATCCTCCTCCCTCGGAGCCTTCCGTGCCCACACCATCTCCTTCTATTACTACAACCTCGCCTCGGCAGTTTGCTCACTTCATCTGATAGGACGACGTCACCTTGTTTATGGTGAACGTGACGGATCTCTTACACTATGATCTACCCTGTCCCGACGCCAAGCTCATCCCTCTGGAGCTAGATCCTCCTTCTATCTCTATGGCTCCCATCTCTACTTCCGTCCCTCGGTCGTCTGTCGAGTCCACCCCGCCGTTACGCGCTGACGCTGACGCTGAGGAACTCGCACGCTATACGGCCGACTTAGAGCCCGCAGTTCGTAGCCTCATTCGAGAGCACCACGACGTTTTCCCATCGTCGTTCTCGTACGTCGGCATCCCACCGATGCGCGATGTCGAGCACTCCATCCAGCTTGTGCCTGACTATCGTGTTCACCACCAGGCACCCTACAGACTCTCGATCGCTGAGGCCACTGAACTCAAGCGTCAGCTTGAGGAGCTCCTGAGACTGGGTTTCATTAAACCCAGCAACTCCCCGTGGGGTGCACCCGTCCTCTTTGCTCGCAAAGCGGATGGAACTCTCCGTGCCTAGCGGATGGAACTCACCATCGACTATCGCGGTATCAACCGCTACACGGTTAAGAACAACTACCCCATGCCTCGTTCCGATGAGCTGTTTGACCGCCTAGCAGGCAACCGGTTCTTTACGAAGATTGATCTTCGTAGCGGTTACCATCAGATCTGCGTCGCTGCAACGGACCAGCCGAAGACAGCGTTCCGATCGCGCTTCGGCCACTACGAGTTTACGGTGATGCCATTCGGCCTCACCAACGCACCCGCTACCTTCCAGAGGGCGATGAACGACATCTTCAGGGACATCCTGGTCTACAGTCGTACCCTCGAGGAGCACCTCAGACACCTCTGCGACGTCCTTGACCGCTTGCACAAACATGGCTTCTACGCCAAGCTGAGCAAGTGCCACTTTGCCCAACACAAAGTGGATTTCTTAGGACACTACGTGTCTGACCAGGGTCTCCACATGCACGACGCGAAGAGCACTGCTATCGCGGAGTGGCCCGTCCCCACATCCGCCAAGCAGCTTTGCAGCTTCCTAGGCCTTACCAGCTACTATAGTAATTTCATCCAGGGATACGCTAGGTATTCCTACGTCCTTACCTCCAACCTCCTCCGGAAGAACCCGCCATGGGCTTGGACACCCCTCTACGAGGACGCCTTCCACGCCCTCAAGAAGGCGGTGACATGCACACCGGTTCTTCACCTACCCGATTTTTATCGCCCTTTTATCTATACCACCGATGACTTTGCCGTAGGAGCAGTGCTCTCTCAGATTTTCCCCTCCTCTCCTGATTCCTCTCATCCTCGTATCCCTCGCTTCCCACCCCCTACCCCTACCACTGCCTCCCGCCTGACGCCTACTCGTGCAGCTACTCACGAGCCTCCTATTGACTATTCTCCTGCCATCGCCGAGGACGGCACTGTCGAGTCTCGCTCAGGTGATTGTCCGATCGCCTTCTACTCCCATCAGCTCCTGCCCGCCGAAATAAACTACACCGCTGATGAATGTGAGGTTCTCGCAATAGTTTATGCCGCTCGGCACTGGCGTCACAATCTGCACGGGGCACCATTCACGGTGCGCACGGACAACTCCGTTGTCCAGGCTTTCCCGACAAAACCGAAGCTCACTCCTCGACAGGCTCGCTCTTGGTGCGACGTATCCAAGTTTAGTTTCACCACTGAGCACATCAAGGGTGAGACTAATCGGGTCGCAGATGCCTTATACTGACACCCTGACCACGACCAGAAGCAGATTCAGCTCTCTTCCATATCGGTCACCACCGTCCACCACTCGGTGATCGACGAGTTTCACACTCAGTACCGCCATTACCCCGACTATCGCGACATCCACGCGACCCTTCGGAGTGGCAAGACCGTCCCGAACTACTTTCTCGGGGACAACGGTCTTGTGTACTGGCACGGTTCACAGGGCACCAGAGAGCCCCATATTTGCGTTCCCTCCATTGGAAAGCTACGTGTCCGAGCAGTAGCAAAGTTCCATGACCAGGCAGCCGTCGGTCATATGGGCTTCCACAAGACGTTGGCTCGTGTGAGCCGCCTGTACGTCTGGCCGAAGCGCAAGGACTTTGTGAAGGACTACGTCGCAGAGTGTCCCACCTGTCAGGAGGTGAACAGTGCGAACCACCTTCCTTATGGTTTGCTCCAACCTCTTCCTATCCGTAAGGGTCGTTGGCAGTCCATCCCGATGGACTTTATCGGTCCTCTTCGTCCTCCGACCCCCCGCAATCATGATGCTATCCTGGTCGTCGTCGACCGCTTCACGAAGCGTGCACGCTTTGTTCCATGCCTCTATGCCATCAGTGCACGTGAGGTCGCCGACATCGTGTTTGACCGAGTCGTGCGTGACCACGGATTACCTCTGAGCATCATATATGACTGTGACCCGCGCTTTACCAACCGATTCTGGCGACGGCTCCACGAGGTGTACGACACTCAGCTCCGCTTCTCCTCATCTTACCATCCTCAGACTGATGGTCAGACCGAGATCACGAACAGGACTCTCGGAGATATTCTCCGAAAGATTGTTCGTGACGACCAGCAATGGGATCTCCATCTTGTCCATGCGGAGATAGCCTACAACCACGCCGTCTCGCCAACCACGGGGATGTCGCCTTACTATTGCGACCTCGACTATCACCCTTACGTTCCCGCGGACTTCCTTCGACCGTCACAGATGCACCCCGACACTAGTTGTCCCACGCTAGATGATTGGGTTGCACACATGACGTCGATCATGAAGATCGCACATGAGCACATAGCCGCTTCCCAGACTCGCATGGCAGCATGTGCGAACCGATCGAGGATGGATCATCCATTCAAAGTCGGTGATGATGTGCTTATCGACGCCCGACACTTACAACTCGAAGCGGACACGCTTCGCAAGTTTCGACGTCGCTTCTTTGGCCCATGCCGCATCCTCCAGGCCGTTAGTTATGATACCGCTTCTAGCCCGGTCAACTTCCGTGTGAAGCTGCCCCACTACCTACACCAGGCTCGTGTGCACGATGTCTACCACGTCTCGTTATTGCGCCCTTACCGCAGACCGTCTGAGCGTTTCGTTGGACGACCATACGAGCGCCCTCCACCCATCATGGTGGACGGCCACGAGGAGTTCCTCATTTCAGACATGATTGGTCGCCGAGTCACCGACGACAACCCTCCTCACGTCGAGTATCTCGTACGTTGGAAGGGTTACCCTGATGAGGAGGCTACTTGGGAGCCCCTCGAGCACTTGCAGCACGCTCGTATGTTGGTGTGTGCCTATGACCGTGCTCGTCGTGATGAGTTCACTGCTCCTCCTCAACCCATTGAAACTCCTCCTTCTCCCCTGGCTGAGGAGACCGCTGAAGTCGAGCCTGCCCCATCTGAGGCAGACCTTCAGCAGCAGCCGGATGCTTCTGAGCGTCCACAGCGCACTCGTCGTCGTCCTGCTCGATACGACGATTGACTCTGACTTATCTTCCCACGTCTTTGACTTCTCAGTACTCCATCCACATCAGTTTTGCTACTTCAGCTCGTCGACGTTGTGGCTCTTCCTCGACGACATTCCGGACTTCTCATCACGGACGTCATCGGCAACTTCATGGACTTCTTCACGATCAGCTCTGCCTACTTCAGACGTCATCACTCTCTTACCACTTCACCCTATACAGTACCCTTGTTGTGTCGCATGATGGTCTCCCTTTAGCCGGGTTCCTCTGAGTTGGGCTCTCTCTTGGTATACGCATAGGCATCGGGACCGTAGCGTTACCCTGGCTTCCCATCTTATGGATCTAGCTCCGACTTCCCTCACTTTAGGAGTCATTTTCATGATTCCCTTACCCATCACCTTTCTACCCTTTGTCGGCCCTCACGCCCTAGTTAGGCAGCCTCGCATGCTTCATCTAGGTGCACCAACTATACCAGGCTCCCTTGTTCCCTTGCATGGTTGACCCTCCATAGCGGTCACCCCTTTAGTCGAGCATTACCCGCCCTGATGGTCTATCTGTTAGGGTCATTGGTTTTGTTCGCTCCCAGTTCCCTACCCTCATTGAGCCTGATGACATGTGTCTCCCTGTTATTTATGTGTGGATGCCCTTAGGAGTTATCGACCCCTAGGCTGCATTCGCCGCCCTCAGAGACCATCCCACCCTTTGGTTTGCGACACACTTCTCATGTCACATATGGTTGTCTTGTTGTTGCTTTGTTGCTCTCAGACTGAGGCTACTGCCTCTGACATTTCTAGGATTTAGTTGTTTTGTTTTTGTTCTTCTTAGGACTTATACACTAGTCAGTTGTTTCCAAACTGAGGCTACTGCCTCCAACACTCTAGGGCCTAGTTGTCATTACTTTCTGCTTTCCTAGGACATGTATGGTAGTTAGTTGCTTGTGCTTTCACTTAAGTTGTTTTGTGACATTTTATATCCTAGGGTGCATCGCACGGACTCATCATGGAGCTTGCTCCGCATCCTACACTACTCAGGTTTTCTTTTGCTTTGGTAGAGTTCCGCTTCTTGGCGGAAGCGTGCTTGTATCTAGGCTGTCCATCACAGGCCGAGGATCGTGTAGCGGACCTCTGGTTGGCCTGTGAGACCAGCCCCTTGGCCTGTCCTCACAGGCCTGTGTTGTATTCGGGGCAGTCCAGTCCAGGCCGGTACCTCTGTCGGTACCAGCCAGTCCAGTCCAGTCCCATCAGTCCACTGGGGTATACCCCAACTGTTGTCTGTATTCTGTCTCATTCTGCATTCGCACAGTTTGGAGTATGTGCGTTGGAGTTTGGCGTGGGAGCTGCGATGTGCCATCTCGCTCCCCTTCTTCCTCCATTTCCATCTCTATCCCTGGCGGAGCACCACACCTGGTGGGTCCGCCACAGATGCTCTTATTAAAACTGTTAGGTCGTCCGCAAATAACATTGTCGTGGGTAGTTCAATTCGTCTACAGTGATTGTCGTTCACAGTTTGTAGCCTTTCTATTGAGGGGTCCTTCCCGAGGAAGGCTGCGATGGCTTCCATTACAAATAAGAATATCGGTGCTGCTAAGGGGTCTCCCTGTCTAACTGATCTTGACATTTGTCTGTATCCGATAGAAAACCGTTTACCTGCACCTTCCCTCTTGAATTCGCGTACAGGACTTTGACCCACTTTTTGAACATTGGTCCCACCCCCATTTTTTCCACACACATTTGTAGAAAATCCCAATTTACTTAATCGTATGCTTTTTCAAAGTCGAAAAAAAGTATTGCTGCTTGTATCCTCTTGTCTCTTATCAATTTGGTCGCTTCATTAAGGCAGACTACATTGCCTAAGATGTATCACCCCGGAATAAAGCCTGTTTGGTCCAAGTGGAAACATTTATCTGTCACGTTTCTTATTCTATTTGCCAATGCTTTTGCTAGTATCTTGTAGGCTACTGGTAGTAGAGTGATTGGTCTGTAGTTTCTTATATCTTCTCCCCTTTCTTGTATAGGAATGTCACTACTCCTGTGTTGATATCTTCTCCTAGGCTTCCTTTCTTGTAGGCCTCCTGGAGGAAACGGAAGAGATCTTTTCCTAGTACTGGCCAGAATTCCTGCCAGAACTCCTTTGTCAAGCCTTCTATACCTAGATTTCATTCCTTTTAGGGCCCTATGAGTTTCCTCTATGGAGAGTTCCTTGTCTAAGTATGCTACAACTTTTGGCTTTATGCTTCTGTCCAAATGCTTCATGATTTTTCTCTTGCCCTTTGTATAGAGTGGCTATTTTATGGAAGAGATTGAGAGGTATATAGTTTCTTGTAGAAGTTCGCTGCAATTTTTAGGAGATCACCTTCGTTGTTCCTTATTCTCCCTTCTTCGTCTCTTAGCTCCATAATCCTATTGTTTTTGCTGTTTGCTTTAATGTTTTGGAAGAAGAATTTGGTCATGGCTTCATTCCTTTCCCAGTCTTTTACTCTCACTCTGATGTTGAGGCCTCTCCTTTTTCAGTCTGCCCATTGGGCTAGTTCCTCTTTTGCTGTCTTGAGTAGGGCTTCGTATAAGGGGGAGCCCGGGTTGCGGGATAAATTAAATTCTGCAGTCTCTATTACGGATTCTAATAGTTCTTGTCTTTCCCTTCTTTTTCTTGCCTCCTTCCTTGATTCTTTGCTCAGTCCCGCACTGACCTTATGTAATCCCTCTGCGACGCCTGTTACCCGGTTTCCTTCTTGCAACCTAGGTGAGTGTTTCTCCCATGTTTGTTTTACAACCTCCTGGATGTTTTCTAGCTTTAGAAGAGAGTTGTTGACTTTGTTACGATCCTGGTCATTTCCCAAGTGCAAATTCACAATGAAAGATAATGCCACCCAATTGCGAAAGAAATGAAAGCACTTGCAAAGAAATAAAGACCAGAGGAAAGAGAAAAAAGAAGAAGAAGAAGAAGAAGAAGAAGATATGCACCAGCAAGACCAATGATAATTCCCCCTTCTCTCTCCACCTTCCTCCTCCTCCTTCACTTCGCCAATCTTATTCTTCTCCCAGCAATAATAATAACAATCAATGGATGAACCAGAATCAATATCCGAAGTTCCCTGTTACTGCTGACTCAACTGAACAACAACAACAACAACAACAACAACAACAACAACAACAACAACAACAAGTCCACCATAGCTATGGCTTCCCTCCTTCAGCCTCCTCTCTCAAGCATAAGCTATGGCGGACTAATGAGGGCCCTGGCCTGACGTCCAAAGGACAACCCA